AAGCTGGTCATTAATTGTTAAAGGCTGGTTATCGCTTGTTAAGGGCAGTTCATTACTAACGAATACTGATTATTATTTGCAAGTTGTGTTCATCAATAATTAGAGCTCTTAATCGCTAATATGGGATCACAATTTAGTGTTTTTCATAAACAGTATAGGATGATTATCACTTGCAAGGGACTGACAAGTTCAGCACAAGCAGTGGTTAACATCAAGACAGGTCCAAGAGATGTTTACCAGTATTTTAGCTTAAACTTATCATGTCCCTCATATCCATATTATAGTGGGTGGCCGAACATTATCTATGTCATTACATGCTTGTAATAAAAGTGGTATTAAACAACTAGTATAAAATCTTTAACTAATACAACAAAATCTCTGAATTATATATTTTTAACGAAGATGCAAAATGAATCCTAACTATTTACATGGACAAAAGGCGATTTAATCACGTACCTTGTGAGTCGGCAACTGAGTAGGTGTAAATCCCCAGCGATTTACTTGCTTGACATTATTCGCCCAGTCCTGGTGACTCGACCTGCCAGAGGACACAGCTCCTGGGAATCCCAGCCACAACAAAACTTTCACTTTTTTTTTATTCCTTCGCTTATTCAACTGTTTCATGCTTAATATACAACATAATTTATACCAATGGACATATCTTAGTAACCTCTTTGTAGAAAATATATATTTTTCATTGCACATCTCCAATAGCATATCCTCGAAGGCTTGAGATAGTAGATACTGCAGATGACCAGGGGGCAGTAAACAGCTTTCATATCCCAGCATCCCGCTACCAGTATCGACAACTACACCTGCTGACTGACCCCCCCCTCGTGGCTCGCACTCCAGCCTTAAAGTTGATAGAATAATCCGTGGTGTACTGTGCTTAACGTGGAGTACAAGGTTTCGAGACCTACATATTTTTAAATAACTATTTTTTTTAAGAGATGTAAAGGTCGGAACAACCACGACGATTCTCACATTCGTGTCGGTGGTGAAGAAGGATTGTCCGTCGCGTTCACTTTACACTTTATGAACCCGTTATCATAGCCAAATTGCTCATTTTTTTATTGTGTTTTGTGTCTTTTGTGCTGTAGGTATGGGAATAATACTTGAGAGCCATTTTTGGCTATTATACTAAATTTAAAAGTGGGTGGTGCTGTTATGACACTTGGTGTTAGTGTAATTACATTATTTTGTTACCTTAGTGACACCAGTTACTAAGTTATATAATGACCTCAGTTGGTGTTATATAATGAAATCAGTTGGGGTTATATAATGACATCAGTTGGTGTAATATAATGACATCAGTCGGCGTTATATAATGACCTCAATCGGTGTTATATAATGATATCAGTTGGGTTATATAATGACCTCAGCTGGTGTTATATAATGACCTCAGTCGGTGTTATAAAATGACATCAGCTGGTGTTATATAATGACCTCAGTCGGTGTTATATAATGACATCAGTCGGTGTTATACAATGACATCAGCTGGCGTTACCGTAAAGGCCCCAGTTGGTTTTACCATAAAAGCAACAGTATTGATAGAATTTTCTAATTGACATAACTATTATTTGCAAGTGGTCACCCTTGGATGTGTGATAATTTTAACCTAGTTTAACAACAACTGAACTGCAAAACAAACAGTTCTGAACACTCTAAACCAGCGTCAGAATTGAGGAGTTTGTGAACTTTTTTTCCATTGAATGTTTTTCCGAGGAACCGTTTGTGCTAATTATTTTCGTAATGTAGAAATGATTGGCGAAATTTAACATTTGCCTATGTAATGGTGCAACAATTTGCGTAAACGTATAAATGCAATCACAAATGCATAGTTGATATTGAGTATCTGTGTAGTGGAGATATTTTTTATATTATGTATTTGTTTTTATGAAAGTAAAACTATTTGTGTAAAAAGGCCCAATCAGAGAACATTGTATAAACATTAGAGGTCCACGGTTGTTTAACATCCTCCCAGCGGGTATAAGAAATACTGCCTGAACAACCGTGGACATCTTCAAGAGAAAACTAGAGAGTTTTCTTCAAGAAGTGCCGGATCAACCGGGATGTGGTGATATGAGGGCCTGCGGGCCGCTCCAAGCAACAGCCTGTTGAACCATGCCTCTGTACTAATATTGTACCTCTGTACTTAAGAAATTATTTATGTAATGTTGAAATCATTTGTCAAATTATATGCAAATGTGAACTGTGAATGTGCGTAACAATCAGAGAGAGGAACAGGATAAACATTTATTCACTTGTCTCAGGGGATGTTCACTCCAATAATTAATCATAAATAGTCAAAATTATATGACAAAAATGTAATACATTCATAAGACAATATTTAGGTCATACCATGGGATCGAACACGCACTCCTGAACTCTGTAGGAATACGATTTACCAACTGAACCATTACGACGTAAAAAAACAGAAGCACTAGCAAATTTACATGAAGATTGAAGGCACCATCCATTAGCGCGGATACCTGGGAACTCTATACACACAACAGGTTGATAATACACCAAGCATGTCACCAGAAGCCTACATCAACTGAATGCCATCAGCGGCATATGCGAGGCTCTCCAACTAAAAAAAAAATTATTTCATGAAACTGCATATAACGATATATAACTCATACATACGTACGACCAATTCTAGCACTTGCGTAGTCTTTATCTCTAAAACTAAACGAACCTGATGGAATTTCAGAGATACATCACCGGACTAGTCGCCAACCTGACATGAATGTATTATGAACAAGACTAAAGAAATTAAGTTTGATGCTACTTGAAGATAGAAGAATAAGGGGGAGACATGATCACAGCATTAACGATTCTTAGTGAAATAGTGAGGGCATTCAAAGACAGACGTTTTAGCATGGATTGTAATCGAGCGAGTGAAAAAATGGGGAACATATGTACCATATGAAAGTACAGAATTTTTTTTTAAATAGATGGAGTACATATGTGTACTCCTCACAGTGTTCAGGAGAGAACTTGATAAACACCTCCAAAAAATACTAGATCAACCAGGCTGTAACTCATCCGTCAGGCTGCGAGCAGCCGCGTCCAACAGCCTGGTTAACCAGTCCAGCATCCAGGAGGCCTGGTCGAGGACCGGGCCGCGGGGTCGCTTAGCCCCGAAAACACCTCAAAGTAACCTCAAGGTTAGGTACGTTGAGAAGTGAAGTGGTGGAAGACGAATATGTATATGCTGAGTTTGAAGAAGATTGAGAAGATTTGAAGGAAAATAGAATCTGAAGCTCATTTTCCCCCCGAATACTACTGGGAAGGGTAGGGAACAATCAGGGGAAAGCGCCAACCCTGAACGACTATATAGCACTGGGAAGGGGTCAGGATAAGGATTTGGGATAGGACGGGGAGACGGAAAGGAATGGTTCCCAACCATTTGGACGGTCGGGGATTGAACGCCGACCTGCATGAAGCGAGATTGTCTCGCTCACACAATTCACTCTTTGGTGGAATTAAGCATAACATGTGTGTGGGTGATGCTGTAATTTCTCTTCTGCAATGTGAGACCATTTATATGTATAAGATTGCAGAAGAGTGTAAATTGCAGGAAGATATAATCACTGCAAACTATTTTAAAACATGAACGACGTATAAACAGTCATGAGACACGACTACTGTCAATTGTATATAGATATGATCCTTGTAAATAGTGTTGTGATCTGATCACTCTTGTGGTCATGATGATTGCAAACAGTATAGAGAAATGACCTGCATTAATAGTCTGGAGATGATGTCAGTATAAATATGAAAGAGAGAGAGAGAGAGAGAGAGAGAGAGAGAGAGAGAGAGAGAGAGAGAGAGAGAGAGAGAGAGAGAGAGAGAGAGAGAGAGAGAGAGAGAGAGAGAGAGAGAGAGAGAGAGAGAGAGAGAGAGAGAGAGAGAGAGAGAGAGAGAGAGAAAGAGAAAGAGAGAAGAAGAAGAAGAAGTAGAAGAATGAGACACCTGATCAAAAGGAGTCAAGAAGGTGTGGCGGAGAGGCCAGCGCGTGACTGGGACTCCCCCCAAACACTCACTGACCTTGACCCTGTCTGCTCAACTTCCCTCTCCGCCCATTTTCAGGGGGACGGATGCTCCTTGATCCCAACATGGGTGCTGAGGCGGAATATGATTTTCCCATTGTTTATTGTTTACGAATAATATTACTCTTTTATCTGATACTTCTACTACTACTACTACTACTACTACTACTACTACTACTACTACTACTACTACTACTACTACTACTACTACTACTACTACTACTACTACTATTACTACTACTACCACTACTAAAATTTGGTTTTAAAAGCATATATACATTCTCTTACATTTTGAAAAAGATATATGTGGCAGAAATTTATATATTGCTGGAACATCTGGAACCAGGCTTACACAAAGCTCTTCTGTTTAAGCTTAATTAAATGCGAGGGGAGGTGGGATGGGGTCAGGTGGGCGGGGGAGAGTGGGTGGCTGGAGAAGGGCAAAGGTGGGGAAGAGTGAAGGTGAGGAGTGAGAGTGATGTAAATATATAACCAAGAAAAGTGTGTGTGAAGTCATGGGAGAGTGTTAGTGTCACAGGAGAAACATCATGTGTCAAACATCATGTCTGAAGATAGACATGATGTTTAGGTTAGAGAGAGAGAGAGAGAGAGAGAGAGAGAGAGAGAGAGAGAGAGAGAGAGAGAGAGAGAGAGAGAGAGAGAGAGAGAGAGAGGGAGAGAGACAGAGACAGACAGAGAAAGAGAGACAGAGAAAGAGAGAGAGAGAGAGAGAGAGAGAGAGAGAGAGAGAGAGAGAGAGAGAGAGAGAGAGAGAGAGAGAGAGAGAGAGAGAGAGAGAGAGAGAGAGAGAGAGAGAGAGAGAAACAGAGAGAGAGAAACAGAGAGAGAGAGAGAGACAGAGAGACAGAGACAGAGAGACAGAGAAAGAGAACCAGAGGACTGGGGAAGTACAGATCATAGAGAATCCTTGATGGAATGTTGTGGGCGACTGGAGTTACTTGCCGCCGTGTAAGGTCCAAGGTCTAGCTGGGGCACGTACCCGTTCAAGGGCAGAGAAAGTGAGAAATGAAGGAGAGAATTAAATGGCAAGGGCCGGTCAGAAATGAAGTGAAGGCAGGAATCAGAGAATGAAAAGAGACACTCAGAATGCTGATAGAGAGGGTATTGACCAAGGAAGCACCAATGGTTTAGTCGGACATTGATCTTGAAAGTTTTGAAAAAAAATGGGAATGGGGCATAGCCTGCAAGCGAGGTAGGGAAGAAATGGGTATATTTTGGGCGAAGATGGAATGGGACATTTATTCTAGTGGAGGTAGGAAGGAAGAGGAGCATACTCTAGTAGAAGTAGGAAAGAAGAAGGCAAGTTTTCCGGGACTAGTAGAAAGGAAGATGGCACGCTTTCCCAGCTAAGTATGAAGGGATCAGCCCCAATTTATGACGAAAGGAAGGGATGAGGCTCAATTGAAGGAGATAGGAAGGTAGGCGTCATAGTTAAATGTGGTAGGACAGGAGGAGGCATAATTAAAGGTAATAGGAAGGAAGGACACTGCACAGAGAGCGGAAGTGATGTGGTCAACCCAGTAGGCGGGCAAGGGCCATGTGTGGGGGCGCCATGACACAAGTGGTCTTGGCCCAGTAGGCAAACGGCAGTATAAAAACTCTCCTCCCTTGCTGGCCTCTGCATCAGTCTGCGTGTGTTCTCCGCCTGTTGTACTCCTCTGGATACACTCTCTGTGAGTAACTGAAACTCCTACCTGTCGATCACTGCTAAATTCGTATAATATATGTTTACGATAACGGTACAACTTATTTGCATAATGAAGAGTATCAATCAGTTCATCCAATATCTATGTCTGTTCACTGCGAATTTGTCTGGCATTGATTGTCAAGTCTGTCAACAACGGGGCTTCCTATTAAGGCTAACAATACTTTAATATCCAAACGAGAAGCATGCATTACTCCGAGTAAACTCTCAGTGTATATACACTATGTGGAATGATTAATATTGTGAAAAATAATAATATTAAGTCATTGTGTCGTGGGACAGGCACCCAGTGTATATATTTGCATGTTAGCTTTATATCGAGGTTTCAGACAAGGTCGAATTACTGACCCTTCTTAGGATGCAACCCTACTGTGGTAGGAAGCTAATCACAACAAGCTGATTAACTCCTGAGTACCTATTTATTGAGAGGTGAACAGTGCATTAAGTGACAGGAAACGCGCCGAATCATTTTTATCTCTCCAGGGACTTGATCACTGAATATCCGTTTGTGAGTTGAGAACGATCCCGACCAAGGTACTAGAAAACTTTAAACTTCTATATTTAAGTTTACGTGGAAGACAAAATGTTTACATAGAAGTATAAATATTTACGTTAAAATAATAGTTAGATGAAAGTCAAACAAATTATTTTGGTAGTATTTGGTGTTGGAAGTCTGAATATTTACGTAAGTCTTAACGTTAATATAGAAGTCTTAATATTTACATGAACGTCAGAATATTTATATGGAACTCTAAAGTCTTACCATAGAGTCTCAAACTTTATGTCAACGACAAAAGGTTTACGAAAACTTTTCAATATATGTGTACCTTGAGGTTACCTTGAGGTGCTTCCGGGGCTTAGCGTCCCCGCGGCCCGGTCGTCGACCAGGCCTCCTGGTTGCTGGACTGATCAACCAGGCTGTTAGACGCGGCTGCTCGCAGCCTGACGTATGAGTCACAGCCTGGTTGATCAGGTATTGGTGTAAAGATGTATGTGATAATCGTTCCTTGTCGGCGTACAATCAACGTGCATATATTTTAAAAAGGCATTTGCGTGATTTTTTGTGCAATGCCTTCGAATTTTCTTATGTAATTTGAATTTTCATATTTGTGGATTTAAAGTTTGAAACTCGTATAACTTAATTGTTATTTTTAATTTTGTTTATGATTTGTTTTAAAGTTACTTAGACAATAACAATTTATTAACTCTGTCTCTCTCTCTCTCTCACACACACACACACACACACACACACACACACACACACACACACACACACACACACACACACACACACACACACACACACACACACACACACACACACACACACACACACACACACACACCATGGATTCTTCTGTTGCTTCTCGGATTTTTCCCTTTGGGCCGGGATGAACCTGTTTACTGCCTCCTGACACTTTTGGGTAACATAGTCCATCATACCCTGTACAGACTTGTCTGTCCATGGATTGGAACCCATGGAACAGCCTCCCCCACCAGCAGAACACTCACCAAGGAGGCGATTTGAGAAGGGACAGAAGAAAGTGAGCCTCAAAGCGATGTACACTAACATAGATGGAATTACAAATAAAGCAAATGAGCTTGGAGAACTGGTACTAGAGGAAAACCCAGACATAATAGCCCTCACAGAAACAAAGATCACGAAAACGATAACAAATGCAGTGTTCCCACAGGACTATTATGTTATGAGGAAAGAGAGGGAAGGAAGAGGTGGGGGTGGTGTAGCTCTGCTGGTAAGAAAAGGCTGGGATTTTGAGGAGATGGATATTCAGGGCTGTGAAGGTTTCAGTGACTACATAGCAGGTACTGTAACAAATGGAGGGAAAAAAATTATAGTCGTAGTCATATATAATCCACCACCAAATGACAGAAGACCTAGACAGGAATATGATAGAAACAACATGGCCACCATTAACATAATAGAAAGAGCAGCTTCTGTTGCTAGCAGGAATGGATCTGGACTACTAATTATGGGAGACTTCAACCATGGGAAGATAGATTGGAAGAACAGAGACCCGCATGGAGGACCAGAAACATGGAGAGCTAAGCTGCTGGACGTGGCAACAAGAAACTTTCTAAGCCAGCACATCAAAGAACCAACGAGAATGAGAGGAGAAGATGAACCAGCAATGCTTGATTTGATATTTACCCTAAATGAATGGGATATAAGGGAAGTTAAGATGGAAGCGCCCTTGGGAATGAGTGACCACAGTGTATTGAACTTTGAGTACCTGGTAGAGCTAGGACTTATCTCCCCCAAAAAAGAACTAGGAATCAAAAGGCTGGCATACCGAAAGGGGAATTATGAACAGATGAGAAGTTTCCTAAGTGAAATACCTTGGGACACAGACCTCAGAGACAAGTCTGTACAGGGTATGATGGACTATGTTACCCAAAAGTGTCAGGAGGCAGTAAACAGGTTCATCCCGGCCCAAAGGGAAAAATCCGAGAAGCAACAGAAGAATCCATGTTTTAATAGGGCATGTATGGAAGCAAAGAAACTGAACAAAAAGGCGTGGAGGAACTTCCGGAATAACAGAACACCAGAAAGCAGAGAGAGATACCAGAGAACCAGGAATGAGTACGTCAGGGTGAGAAGAGAAGCAGAGAAAAATTTTGAAAATGATATAGCAAACAAAGCCAAGATCGAACCAAAACTACTCCGCAGTCACATCAGAAGGAAAACAACAGTGAAAGAACAGGTATTGAAACTTCGAACAGGCGAGGACAGGTATACAGAGAATGACAGAGAGGTGTGTGAGGAACTCAACAAGAGGTTCCAGGAGGTCTTCACAATAGAACAGGGTGAGGTCACTGTGCTAGGAGAAAGGGAGGTAAACCAGGCGGCCTTGGAAGAGTTCGAAATTACGAGAGAGGAGGTCAAGAGACAACTGCTGGATCTGGATGCTAGAAAGGCTGTTGGTCCAGATGGGATCTCACCATGGGAACTGAAAGAGTGTGCAGAGGCCCTTTGCTTGCCACTCTCCATAGTGTATAGTAAGTCACTGGAGACGGGAGACCTACCAGAAATATGGAAGACGGCGAATGTGGTCCCAATATACAAAAAGGGCGACAGACAAGAGGCACTGAACTACAGGCCAGTGTCCTTGACTTGTATACCATGCAAGGTGATGGAGAAGATCGTGAGAAAAAACCTGGTAACACATCTGGAGAGAAGGGACTTCGTGACAAATCGCCAACATGGGTTCAGGGAGGGTAAATCTTGCCTTACAGGCTTGATAGAATTCTACGATCAGGTGACACAGATTAAGCAAGAAAGAGAGGGCTGGGCGGACTGCATTTTCTTGGATTGTCGGAAAGCCTTTGACACAGTACCGCATAAGAGGCTGGTACATAAGCTGGAGAGACAGGCAGGTGTAGCTGGTAAGGTGCTCCAGTGGATAAGGGAGTATCTAAGCAATAGGAAGCAGAGAGTTACGGTGAGGGGTGAGACCTCCGATTGGCGTGAAGTCACCAGTGGAGTCCCACAGGGCTCTGTACTCGGTCCTATCTTGTGTCTGATATATGTAAATGATCTCCCGGAGGGTATCGATTCATTTCTCTCAATGTTTGCGGACGATGCTAAAATTATGAGAAGGATTAAAACAGAAGAGGACTGTTTGAGGCTTCAAGAAGACCTAGACAAGTTGAAGGAATGGTCGAACAAATGGTTGTTAGAGTTTAACCCAACCAAATGTAATGTAATGAAGATAGGTGTAGGGAGCAGGAGGCCAGATACAAGGTATCATCTGGGAGAGGAAATTCTTCAGGAGTCAGAGAAGGAAAAAGACTTGGGGGTTGATATCACGCCAGACCTGTCTCCTGCAGCACATATCAAGCGGATAACATCAGCGGCATATGCCAGGCTGGCCAACATACGAACGGCATTCAGAAACTTGTGTAAAGAATCATGCAGAACTTTGTATACCACATATGTCAGGCCAATCCTGGAGTATGCAGCCCCAGCATGGAGTCCATATCTAGTCAAGGATAAGACTAAACTGGAAAAGGTTCAAAGGTTTGCCACCAGACTAGTACCAGAGCTGAGAGGTATGAGCTACGAGGAGAGACTACGGGAATTAAACCTCACTTCGCTGGAAGACAGAAGAGTTAGGGGGGACATGATCACCACATTCAAGATTCTGAAGGGAATTGATAGGGTAGATAAAGACAGCCTATTTAACACAGGGGCAACACGCACAAGGGGACACAGGTGGAAACTGAGTGCCCAAATGAGCCACAGAGATATTAGAAAAAACTTTTTTAGTGTCAGAGTGGTTGACAAATGGAATGCATTAGGGGGTGATGTGGTGGAGGCTGACTCCATACACAGTTTCAAGTGTAGATATGACAGAGCCCGATAGGCTCAGGAATCTGTACAACTGTTGATTGACGGTTGAGAGGCGGGACCAAAGAGCCAGAGCTCAACCCCCGCAAACACAACTAGGTGAGTACAACTAGGTGAGTACACACACACACACACACACACAAAATCAATCTCATGCCGCTTTTTGGCAATAGCCAGACCATATTATTGTATGATTTCTCTCAGTTTCTTTATCTACTGGCCGCTCACCACCTCTCTCCTCCCACAGATAAGCCATGATTAAGCTGACCCTCCTGGTTGTGTTGCTGTCACTCAGCCTGACAATGGGCGAAAAAACCGATGATGACTCCAAGAACGACCCTAAGAATGCTCGATTTTTCTTACCGAATCTGTTCGACGTGTTCAAGCCTAAGCCGTTTCCCCCTCCATTTGGCGGAGGCGGCTTTTTCCCAGGCTTTGGGGGAGGTTATCCTGGTGTTTTTCCAGGATTTGGTGGTCCAGGATTTGGTGGTCCACCATTCGGGGGCTATCCTGGTGGCTATGCAGGAGGCTATAATGGGGGCTATCCTGGTTTCATTGGTTAAAAAGCAAAGTGATCCAGGTGTGTAAACAAGTGATTTTTTTTTAGCGGCAGCGCAGTGGGATGGTCCAGCTTGGAGGAATGTTGACCGTGAAATGCAAGTCTCGTCCATACAAGTCAATGCCTAATCGTTAATCATCCGTCCACTTCGTGTAGCTTTAAGGTCAATTAACACATAGGCTATAAAGTTTCTCAGCATATTATACACACAGATATATCACTAATTTATTTAACATTCATCACATTATATCACTGTGTTTTCCCTTCACATTCTCCTCTGTCAGCGTAGATCATCAGCTTAGTACTCACCTTCACTCCAAGCAGCCCTCTTCCCCAGCTGGGACAGTGGGTCTAGTCAAAGTAGTTTCCTGGACCATTGTAAATGTGTGTGAGTCTTTAATGCTCTTTGAGTGTAAATATATATTAAAATGAATGTCTTATATGTTTCCTTTACCCTTATTGCTGTTCCTTGAGATGCGGCAGTGTTGACAAAGCTGTCTCTCAGTGGCAGGCATACACGCCGATAACACGATGGGTTATTACTAAAAGGAACACTTTCTACAGTGAAGTGTGCAGATGCCAAAGGTGTTTTACAAAGATGTAGTTTGAAGATGTTTGAAGATGCAGATATTACAAAGATCCAGTAACTGATTAGAAGTAAAGAAGTGTGACTAATTTGTATGCGTTATAACAGTTAATATTTTGCGAGTAATTACTAATATTTAAAAACTGTGGTTCGTTTTCTCAATAAAATCAGATATGCAGCCTATTTTTAACTTGGGATCGTATGCATCCCGTCCTCCTAAGGCCTCAAAACATCAAGAAAACGGTTAATATAAAGTGTTCCCTCCTAACCTAGATCTCCCAATTACTTGAGGTGGACGGTAGAGCGACGGTCTGGCTTCATGCAGGTCGGTGTTCAATCCCCGACCGACCAAGTGGTTGGGCACCACTTGGACGGTTAGGGACGGTCCTTCCGCCCGGCCCATCCTAAATCCTTATCCAGACCCCTTCCAAGTGCTTCATAGTCGTAAGGGCTTGGCGCTTTCCCCTGATAGTTTACTTCCCACGCCTAACCAACACATTAAGCAAGAGGACCCAAAACAGAAAACGGGAGAGTACGTCACTTACGCGACCCGCTTTCATTTTCTGGTTACGAAATTTTTCAGCCTTTGTAACACATACAAACGAAAAGCGACGTTGTTTCTAAGATGACAAGTTGTCATATCAATGAGATGATGTTCATTTTCTGAGGGGCTGTTCTTCATTATTAAGTTGTTTAAAGTTGATCAATAATTAACATGGAACACTGTACCTGGGACTGGGAAAATATGAACGTCAAACAAATTTGCTGAGTTACAGTGTCAAGTGTGTGTGTGTGAGTGTGTGTACTCATCTATTTGTACTCACCAATTTGTGCTTGCGGGGGTTGAGCTTTGGCTCTTTTGTCCCGCCTCTCAACTGTCATTTAACTGGTGTACAGATTCCTGAGCCTACTGGGCTCTATCTTATCTACATTTGAAACTGTGTATGGAATCAGCCTCCACCACATCACTTCCTTGTGCATTCCATTTACTAACTACACTGACACTGAAAAAAAATCTTTCTAATGTCTCTGTGGCTCATTTGAGTACTAAGTTTCCACCTGTATCCCCTTGTTCGTGTTCCACCCTGTCAATTCCCCTGAGAATCTTGTAGGTGGTTATCATGTCTCCCCTCACTCTTCTGTCTTCTAGGGACGTGAGGTTCAGCTCCTTCAGACTTTCCTCGTAGCTCATACCTCTCAGTTCCGGGACAAGTTTGGTGGCATACCGCTGAATCTTCTGTAACTTTGTCTTGTGTTTAACTAGATATGCACTCTAGGCAGGAGCTGCATATTCCAGGATTGGTCTGACATAAGTGGTATACAGGGTCTTGAACGATTCCTTACACAAGTTTCTAAAATCAGTTCGTATGTTAGCCAACCTAGCATATGCCGCTGATGATATCCTTTTGATGTGGGCCTCAAGGGACAGGTGTGACATCAACCCCCAGATCTTTCTCTCTATTTTACTCATGCAGGATTTCACCTCCCAGATGGTACCGTGTGTTCAGCCTTCTGCTCCCTTCGCCTAATTTCATTACTTTACACTTTCCAGAGTTGACCTTTAGCAGTAATTTTCTACACAATTCCATCAGTTTGTCCAGGTCATCCTGTAGTCTCTGTCTATCTTCATCTGTCGTGAGTCTTCTCATGATTTTTGCATTATCAGCAAACATTGAGAGGAATGAGTCTATACCCTCTGGAAGATCATTTACATATATCAGAAACAGGATGGGTCCAAGTACAGAGCCCTGTGGGGCTCCGCTGGTGCCATCTCGCCACTCTGATGTCTCCCCGCTCACAGTTACTTGCTGTTTCCTGTTGCTTAGATACTCTCTTATCCACTGGAACACCTTCCCTTTTACTTCTGCCTGTTGGTGGTGGTGGTGGTGGTGGTGTGTGTGTGTGTGCGTGTGTGTGTGTGTGTGTGTGTGTGTGTGTGTGTGTGTGTGTGTGTGTGTGTGTGTGTGTGTGTGTGTGTGTGTGTGTGTGTGTGTGTGTGTGTGTGTGTGTGTGTGTGTGTGTGTGTGTGTGTGTGTGTGTGTGTGTGTGTGTGTGTGTGTGTGTGTGTGTGTGTGTGTGTGTGTGTGTGTGTGTGTGTGTACTCACCTATTTGTACTCACCTATTTGTGCTTGCGGGGGTTGAGCTTTGGCTCTTTGGTCCCGCCTCTCAACTGTCAATCAATTGGTGTACAGATTCCTGAGCCTACTGGGCTCTATCCTATCTACATTTGAAACTGTGTATGGAGTCAGCCTCCACCACATCACTGCCTAATGCATTCCATCCGTTAACTACTCTGACACTGAAAAAGTTCCTTCTAACGTCTCTGTGGCTCATGTGAGTACTCAGTTTCCACCTGTGTCCCCTTGTTCGCGTCCCACCAGTGTTGAATAGTTTATCCTTGTTTACCCGGTCGATTCCTCTGAGGATTTTGTAGGTTGTGATCATGTCTCCCCTTACTCTTCTGTCTTCCAGTGTCGTAAGGTGCATTTCCCGCAGCCTTTCCTCGTAACTCATGCCTCTTAGTTCTGGGACTAGTCTAGTGGCATACCTTTGGACTTTTTCCAGCTTCGTCTTGTGCTTGACAAGGTACGGGCTCCATGCTGGGGCCGCATACTCCAGGATTGGTCTTACATATGTGGTGTACAAGATTCTGAATGATTCCTTACACAGGTTCCTGAACGCTGTTCTGATGTTAGCCAGCCTCGCATATGCCGCAGACGTTATTCTTTTTATGTGGGCTTCAGGAGACAGGTTTGGTGTGATATCAACTCCTAGATCTTTCTCTCTGTTCGTTTCATTAAGTACTTCATCTTCTATCCTGTATCCTGTGTTTGGCCTCCTATTTCCACCACCTAGTTTCATTACTTTGCATTTACTCGGGTTGAACTTCAACAGCCATTTGTTGGACCATTCAATAAATCTGTCTAGGTCATCTTGTAGCCTCCTACTATCGTCTTCAGTTTCAATCCTCTTCATAATTTTTGCATCATCGGCAAACATTGAGAGAAACGATTCTATACCCTTTGGGAGATCATTTACATATATCAGAAACAGTATAGGCCCAAGGACTGACCCCTGCGGGACTCCACTCGTAACGTCTCGCCAATCTGAGACCTCACCCCTCACACTGACTCGTTGTCTCCTGTTGCTTAGGTACTCCTGTATCCAACGGAGTACCTTCCCCTTCACTCCAGCCTGCATCTCCAGCTTTTTCACTAGCCTCTTGTGTGGCACTGTATCAAAGGCTGTCTGACAATCCAAAAATATGCAGTCTGCCCACCCTTCTCTTTCTTGCCTTATTTTGGTTGACTAGTCGTAGAATTCAAGTAACCCTGTGAGGCAGGACCTGCCATCCCTGAACCCATGTTGATGCTGTGTTACAAAGTTCTTTCGCTCCAGGTGCTCCACTAGCTTTCTTCGCACAATCTTCTCTATCAGCTTGCATGGTATGCAGGTTAGGGACCCTGGCCTGTAGTTCAGTGCCTCCTGTCTGAACACACAGTTCAGACAGTTGAGACACACACACACCCACACAGTGTGTGTGTGTGTGTGTGTGTGTGTGTGTGTGTGTGTGTGTGTGTGTGTGTGTGTGTGTGTGTGTGTGTACTCACCTAATTGTACTCACCTAATTGTGCTTGCGGGGGTTGAGCTCTGGCTCTTTGGTCCCGCCTCTCAACCGTCAATCAACTGGTGTACAGAAGGATGTACAGAAGACGGTGTACATAAGACACACTGGTGGTGTACGATGGTGGTGTACACACTGGAAGTACGATGGTGTACAGAAGACACACTGTGTGTGTGTGTGTGTGTGTGTGTGTGTGTGTGTGTGTGTGTGTGTGTGTGTGTGTGTGTGTGTGTGTGTGTGTGTGTGTGTGTGTGTGTGTGTGTGTGTGTGTGTGTGTGTGTGTGTGTGTGTGTGTGTGCAAGAAACTCATACGTTGCTCGAGTTATTACTACCAGTAACATATGTTATCAAAATAATCCAACAAGAAATTGAGTGTTAGCAAATCTTAAAGCTCTCGTAAATTGAAAAGCTATCATTCATATCCAACATTTATACGGCACTAAATATAATTATCATTTGCTGCTTTAAAATGATTAACATCTTGATATGCTATAGAGCTTAAGACGGATAGATGTTTGAAATATTTTACGTATTTTATATTTCAGAGAAGTTTATAAATATCATCAGGTCACAACGAAGCAGCCAAGGAGCTGCCAATTAATTACGAAGGAATATAACTTCTAGCGTTGATTAACTGTCAATCTTCGATAACCTCATAAGTTTAATGTGTGTAAATCACGAAAATTAACACGTGATGATAATAATTTTTAATAAAAATTCTAATAATAATTTTAATGAATTTGAAAAAGCCAATACGCTCTCATTAAGAAAATAAAAATAAATGCAAGTATCCTTATTGTCATAGTCTGTTCACACGGTATTACAGCTTATAAACTTTCTAAGACAGTTAGGAAGATCTTTACTACGCAAAAACTAATAAAAGTTTACTTAAATCCTTGAATGTATTCCAAAATATTTTTTACAGTAATTAAACTAACGGTATCATTACCTCATCTTTTTATTTTAAAGTTATAGACGACTGTAACATTTTGAGCGGCAATTTAAAAAAATTCTGAGGATATCTAATAATATCCAACGCAAAAAACTGCAAAAACTCTTGAGCTCAAACTTGAGAAGGAAATACGGCAATATTTGCATTCATAAAACAATATATTTTAACAATTGCAAATATCTGATTAAAAAAATATTGCAATATATAAAAGATACAAATAAATTTTGTGACGTAGGCAATAAGAAAAGTCACATACATAAACCTAATAATAATAACAAAAATAATAATGATAATAATAAGAATGCTACTAATAACTATAAAAATATTAATAATAATAACAATAATAATAATAATAATAATAATAATAATAATAATAATAATAATAATAATAATAATAATAATAATAATAATAAGAAGAAGAAGAAGAAGAAGAAGAAGATAAAGGAGAAAAGAAGTTGATAAAAAAGTTTAACACTTTACAATTCATAAGAGCCTGATTCCTTAATCAATGATCAGCCCGATCAATTGGCAATAAAGTTTGGTGGGCTAAAATAAAATACTAGTGGGAACTGGCATCTGATATGCCTATCTTCCATTACGTGTCATACCCGATGGCCTTGTAACCACCACATATATGGAGAAGACAACTCTTCTTGTTGGTGCACCAAGTTTACTTGTGTACCAGCTAGTGTGGCAGAACACCTGTCACACTAGCACGTACACGTACGTTCTTAACCAAGTATACCTGCTATGAACACAAATCACAATACCTGGTACACTTACTGTCTTAGTCAAAGTCTACCTGTTGGGAGCACTAATTTCTCTATTTTAGAGAAATTTTTAATTATTTTTAGCGATTTTATTTTTGGAAAAAGATCAAATTATTTTTAGGAAATCGATAAATATCTGTACGGAACTAATGTTAAAGTGTAAAGCAAGTTATTATGTAGCACTAAGTAAGATTATGTAGCACTAAGTAAGGAATGTCTCAGAAAAACTTCAAGGCTAGCAGGGATAGAAAAGAAACTATAATTGCTTTGTAAAAGTAAAGCATAAGAAAAGATGACGTTTTTGTCTCTCAACATCGTTTTAACACTGTGCTCTTTTATTACAGACAATTATGACGGGAGAGAGAGAGAGAGAGAGAGAGAGAGAGAGAGAGAGAGAGAGAGAGAGAGAGAGAGAGAGAGAGAGAGAGAGAGAGAGAGAGAGAGAGAATAATGAAGGCAGGTAGAAGGTAGGGCGTGTTATGACAAAGTAAACAATAGAGGAAGTACGGATCATAGCGAGGTCGTGCCGTTGTGTGGGCGAGGCGTAGGTGTTAGCCATGCTAGGGGCCTGGCCATACTTGCTGTTCCAATCGAAGGACAGAGAGAGAGAGAGGAAATGAAATGAAGGAATTATAAAGGAACGAGGATTAAATGTGACTGTGAGCTTGCAAAATAAAAAGAACTGAGACTAAATAATAGAAAGCAAAGAAATGGACCTACGAAGAGCGACTAATTAAGGTATACCCTAAGTGACAACTGAGTACCAGTCAGGGAGGAATGACGGGATGACACAGCCCAAAAGGACAAGAAGGGAACTGAATTATTGTCACCAGGTGCGGAGAGTGAGAGAAGAACGTCTTCCCTTGCGACCTTCCCTTGACTGTAAGGAACAGAGAAGTGCGAGAGTAAAGAGTACGGCTTAAAGAAAGACAAATATGAACGAGAAGCTAATTTGCCTAGGTCTTAAAACAATTATGTCTTCCTGTAGTGAAGAATTAAAGTCGAGTGGTGGAAGAATTAACTCGAGGAAAATAGAATTCCTCCTTAACAGAAAAGCATCTAGACAATAAACTCCACGAATTGTGACTCCTTCATCACTTTTTTTTATCATACATGGCCCCAATTGACACGATATTCTGTAAAACAAATTTTAATTTATTTATATTACAATTTACAACTATAATGAGATCTATTATCAAAGACAAGAAACATAACTAATAATTTAAATTATTATATAATTAGGATTCTTAAAATCCTAAGGAAAACTAATATAAACTAATTATAGCATGAAATTAAATAAATTTACAGCTTTAGCATTTTACATCAAATATGTAAAATGCTGAGAATCACAATGCCTGGGTTAAAATCGACCTTAACAAAACTAATCAAACATGAATCTGATTTCAACAAGGTCTAATATTTTTTTAAAGTGTATGTTTAATAATAACATCAAATATTGATGTTGAGGGCATCCCTGGTTTTTCTGCTGATGAGCTGTTTTATTTTATTCAATAGGATCTTCCTTGCATCGATCATACTTAGGATGTACTTCCCTAAAATGAAACTGGTATTTCTGACAACGATTGAGCGGCAACTGACAAAAGAATAATTAAACAAAAATTATGCTGTTTACTGAATTGGTTATTCCTATCACACGAAGGAAATCCTTCGTGTTAAAATTTTATCCATAAGTGAAGGTGTGGACTTCAGGCCAGATGGGATATATATCGCTTTTAATTATATCAAATATCTTGGAAGTATCAAGCAACAGACAGGGAATATAGGTCTCATGCGAGATGTTCTTCTGAATAGTGTCCGCTGAAAAGAAGCTATATTGCGTTTTAGAGTAACCAATTTAGACTTCAAATTTATAATCTGTAGTATCTAGCTCGTCATCTATAAAGTCCACGAACAACATAGTCAAATATGTTGTTTAATAATGTCTTTTGGGGAATGGTTCTATCGTTATCAGGGGACATAGTTGTTAAACACTGTCTTTGTTATGAGAAAATATACTGAGATATTCATCTCAAATCCCAGTGTAGTATGGGAGAGACAGCCTGAAACACGCGGATAGATACAGGTGCAGTTTCAAGTTTCATGTTGTCAGAGTAAGTGTTAAAGAAACTATCATAATTATGTTAGTAATATTAACAATATTTTCAACCATTACTGGGGTTACAGTATGAAGGTGTTTGAAACTAAGGGAAAGATGTATACATGTTTCACAGACAGCTGTAGTTTTTTACAGTTTCAATCTCATCTCTCCTATACATTATACTGCAGAACAGGAGTGATTATTTCTTCGATAACATTGAAGTGTCCTGAGGAATCAACAAAGAAATCCATAGTTCTTTCGTGGAAACTTAGCATTTTTGTTTATTTTAATCAGACAACGCTTAAATCATGTTTTTGAAAGGCTAAAACCCACTTTTTTCCTCACAATATGATATTTCTCTTTCTTAATCCATTTAATTACATGATAAAACTGACCCCAATTTCATCGTCTGGTCTGGGATAGCTGGCTTCTCTGGAACACCCCGAACATTTCCATTATTAACACAATAAGGTGAATCTATTTTAGAATTCCCTAACGTATTGTTCATTTCAACCAGGTAAACCTCTTCTAATAGTTTTAAGAGGAATATGTTTTACTGTCTGATGCTAAATTCAAATTCGTGCAGGAAATTGCATTCGTTGTAATATGAATATTATCAAATTCACCATTAAAAGAGGCACTGAGCTTTTTGGGTCATAAACAGTGTCCTTCTTCTTGTTTGGAGGTTTTCTAGAGAAGATACAGTCACCTCTGCCGGCAGCAATTTGTGGGTGACGTACATTAAAGGTGACTATGACAGTAAGATGACCGGAAATGTTATGAACATCACTAGTAGGCTAATACCTGGAAATGTTTCCATTTAGATCATCATCATTGAAAAAATTACCAATATTTACTGGTTTTCTCCATTTCGGGCAACACAGCAGAAAGGGTTTTAAACTTAGTTCTTATCTATAGCAACCAATATTGACCCATTGGAGGGTACATTGGAAGGTACAATGTACTCAGTACATTGGAGGGTACTGAGATGAATTGCTTAATTGCTGAATTTATTCCTCTGAAACATGACGTACCTGGATCACTACATCGGTGAGCATCACCCGCATTGATGAACAGCACCCACATCGGTGAGCATCACCCACATTGATGAGCAGCACCCGCATCGGTGAGCATCACCCGCATTGATGAGCATCACCCACATCGGTGAGCATCACCCGCATTGATGAGCATCACCCGCATTGATGAGCAGCACCCGCATCGGTGAGCATCACCCGCATTGATGAGCATCACCCACATCGGTGAGCATCACCCGCATTGATGAGCAGCACCCGCATTGATGAGCATCACCCGCATTGATGAGCAAGATATATTGCAATATATATTATATATAGATAGATATATAGATATATTGCAAGATATATTATATTTGCATTGGTAAGCATCACCCGCATTGATGAGCATCACCCGCATTGATGAGCAGCACCCGCATTGATGAGCATCACCCGCATTGGTAAGCAGCACCCGCATTGATGAGCATCACCCGCATTGATGAGCAGCACCCGCATTGATGAGCATCACCCGCATTGGTAAGCAGCACCCGCATCGGTGAGCAGCACCCGCATCCTGAGCAGCACCCGCATCGGCGAGCAGCACCCGCTTTGTCCAATTATATAGACTCATTGTTCCCAAACAAGTGGGCAGGATTGAGACACGGTTTTGGGCTATATTATTGTTAGAGGATGGACGGGAGGGAGATAATACGGACGTCTCTCTCTTCATAAATTCTGAAGCTTTATGGAGAGAGAGAGAGACGGCACTGACCGAGGCGTAATAGCTTGAGGCGGTATGATGTGAAAAAAATAGGGAGGAGATACTCACCAAGAATGAAAAAAGTCAGGAAGCTTCTTAAAGTTTTGAAAGAGGGAATATGATCCAGGAAGACGGAAACGTTATGGGCGCCCCTTAGCAGGCGTACAGGGGGTCGTGTGTTGGTGTGATGCCAGAGGTGGTCCTAGTAGAGTGGGCGGCCGCCAGTATAAAAAGTCCCACCTTGCTGACCTCAGCATCATTCTGCCTGTGAGCTTCGCCTGCTGTGCTCGTCTGGGAAAATCTCGCTGTTAGTAATTGCATCTGAAGTGGTATTTTTACTATTAAGGTACGTTGTGATAATTGGGTTATCAGAGAATATCTATTGTTTATTTTTTTCTATTTTGTGTACTGAAAAATTTAAAGGAGTTTATGTTTTCATATCATTTGGATTGAAGTTTAATGTGAAGCTTTACTTTCGTTTTCCATTATTGAATGCTTCTGGATTTTTTTTAATGCGTCATTAAGTTATCAACTTTATACACTTAATATTTGTGCATTTCTTGATAAACTTTTTGATAACTTGTATTTTTTAATAAAAAAAAATTGCTAAATTTTGAGGAAACAAATTATTTGGGCACTTTACATAATTTTATTATGTCGGTGCATGAAGGCGTACCTTATTTATCTACTTATCTAGTTTGTCAGTAAGCTTGTGTTAAATACGAATTTAATAACCTTCAAAAGTTCATTAGCTTAAGCTGAACACCATATTTTTATTACGTTTATTCTAATTAAATAAAAAAATGTAATTTAGTCATTATCAAATGATAATAAATAATATATATATGTATATATATATATATATATATATATATATATATATATATATATATATATATATATATATATATATATATATATATATATATATATATATATATATACACATACATACATATATATATATTGAATTTTTTATATATATAATAAAAAATCCAAATCCCTAAAAATTCTCTGGTATTTAACACTACGAAATACTCTCGCTTGTGGCTATATATTAACTACGAATTTAATCTAGTCCTGGACATGTGTTTAGTACTAAGGAATATTGGGGATTATTCAGTACGTTTTTGTTTTAGGCTTTAATACCGCTTCGACGCTGAAGAAGTATTCATCACGTGTTAGTTTACTCTCGCTAGTATGGGTGAATATGGCTGGCAAATCGTGGTTCAGATTCTCCGTGAACAGCAAAAGGTTCTTGATACTTCAAATTCAAATTTTTATTCAGGTAAAGGTACATGCCTAGATGAAGAGTTACAAACATAATGTTTGATTTATTGATAGAGCTAGTACATACAATGCCTAAAGCCACTAATACGTATAGCGTTTCGGGCACTTTTCATGCTCGGAGTCTAACCATGATACTTATTTCATTATCAACGAATTACGCGGTAACTAAACAATCCTTGTTCCCCTTACAGAGTGAGCGTGATGAAGCTGTCTCTCCTGGTTGTGTTGCTGACACTCAGCCTGGCATTGGCTGACGACAACGACTCTAAAAACCCGCAATCACGTTTTTTTCTGGATCCCCTCGGCTTGTTTAAGCCATGGCCTTTAGGTGTCCCTACATTACCTACCTTACCTGGATTTCCCTCATTTCCGAAATTCCCCTTTTTCCCCTTTTTCCCTGGATTCCCGGGACTACCGAAGCCTCCCTTCCTGGACAGTAATAACCAGTATCCAAGCGTCGGTACAGGTAATCCTGGCGTTTCACCTGGTTTGGGTACCTATCCAGGGTACGTAGGAAAGCCTGTTGGAACCGGATTTGGGACGCCATCACTAAGCCCTTCAGGATAACGCACACTCTGCTCCATATCTGAGTGGCACAGCGGAGAGAGTCGAGCCTGGAGAGAGGTCGACCGTGAACCTTAAGACTGGCTCGCATTGCACATATCATTCATCAGCCATTTCCTCTCACAGTTTCTTCACTATTTATCAAGTTCAACCTGATAACTTCTGTGGATTAAATACTTGTGTATCTATCTAATTTATTTACAATTTGTTACTTGTTAGCACTGTGTGTTCCCTTGATTCTCTGCCCTTTAAATATGGATAAATCTTAGTAGTCTCCGTCACAACAGTGTCACTCTCGTTCACTCTCTGGTTGGACCAGTATGTCTAGTCAAGTACTCATTTGGACCTTCGTAAACACCTGTGACTCTAGTGCTCTCTTGTGTAAATATATTTGAGCGTTACAGTCGAGTGGATTTTTTATTTCCCTGTCGACACTTTAGGATGTGGAACTGGAAAACGACGCTTTTTAAAAGCGCCACGAGAAAATTATAGTGCACTGAAATCTTCCATCGCAATTTTAAAGTAATGATTGTACATCATAGCTGTAGAACAGAAGCGGAAGATCATATCAGTTGAGCTCTCATAAATAATATATTTTTCCAACAATAATATTCCAGTTCCCAAAGAGGATACTTGTTGATGGACGGTTTAAGGACGATAATGAACAAGTATCTCCTATATGAGAAAAAGTGTAGCTCTTTATATAAAACATGTATTCAGCTTTGCTCCTGTTATCATCTGATAAGAGGTTCCAAAGGTTAACCATTCGATTGACTGAAAGATGTTTATCATGGGAAAAATTCTCGAAATTTTCTGAATAAAATGTGCCATATTCATTGATCTTTTTAAATATATTCATTGTGTAACCTCTTAATATGTGACTCCAGGCATGGGATTCAAACTCCAGAGTTGTGAAGAGCAAGATGAATAACCCCAAAGCTCTGCAATTCACTGAATGTTGTATATGTTAGCACATATTGAAACATGGCTGAATATCGACTCAAGCTCTTACTGGTCGAGTACCAGCTCCACAGATATAAGAACTTTCATGTTACTGGATCATATAGAAGAAGACGTGGAGTTTCTTTCTATGTAACATAAAAAGAAAAAGAGGGTGAGAGTGGGCAATGGAAAATGAAAGGAAATGGGATGGAAGAGGGGGTGAAGGGACAGTGGGGAGGAGGGATAAAGGGGGAGTGGGCAGGGGAATGAGAGAGGAGGGGGAAAGGCGAGAAGTGCATGATGAATAATTTGTTAGCCAAGTGATTCATTATTGAATATTTAATAATTAATGTGTATATTTGACCTGAGTATCAAAAGTGTTGAGAATTGCAAATTATTTTCCAGTATATTTCCGGCAGTTTATAGTTAAAAGGATTACGACAATATGTATCTCTACTTTAGCAATCAATCTGATACTATGCCTCACGAGTGACATTATATAGCTAGAAGTACTCGGTATTAAAATGGAGAGGAATACAGTAAGGTGATGTAGGTATTGATTACCTCAAAGAAATCAGAGTTAGCATATATGGAGTTTATTATTCTTTCATGTAGGAATAAAGAATACAAGAACATTATTCACTCATCCAAAAGACCACCCTAAATCGTTAGGATATCGATTTTCACCACAATCATCACATGCATATGGAATATTTATCCCCGGTAACAAAAATTATATGGTTAGGCGAACCCTTGTTTAAACCAGATAAGATTTAAATTGTAAATTAAATATAGTTGTACCCTGTACCATGAGCATATTTTTTAAGATGTCACTTTGTTGACGAAACGTCGTAGTAAAATTGAAAGACTAAGTAATGTACTGTTTTATTCACTTCTAAATTCGTTCATGAACAGAAGAATTAGAGGAAATTGCAGGGGACCTATTGACAAATATATATGAGTTCCAGGTAGTGATAGCCACACTAAGATAACTGCATGTTCATGATCTTACTAAATCGTTTTTTTTCAAATTGACTATTTAAAATTGGTCCAAATTATACAATCTATTTCTGAAGTTCATGTTGTATATCGCTCTGTAATTTGTATTAAAGCAGATTCAATAACGTTTCTACTAAAATTATTAAATTTTTTTTATTGAAGTTTCTGTTATTAAGGATTTTTTGATAAATGAATAAATAAAGCAACAGTTGTAAGAAAATTCTCACCAAACTGATTGGAAGAGGTCTTTTCGGCTTAATGACATGCTTGATTTTTTTTATAACTTGGCCAACTAATCTGTTGATTGGATGAGCACCGCAATCCCACTTATCCAATACAACCCGGTTGGTCTGTCACTTTTTGCAGGAACGTGTATAATTTTCTCTTGGACACGGACACGCCTACTCTTGTACCGGCAATATATCTTATGTTTGTTAGGAGGATTCGGAATAGATGTGGAAGTGTAATATTGCAAGGTTAAATGAACAATAGGAACCTCTCATATGTTCTGTTCTTTTAAGGGCAACCCACTGTAACTGGAGTGATTTTCAAACATTATTTTTAAAGTTGCAGGCTATTATGCTACTCACACATCATATCTAATTTGGCTATCATTGTTAAACGTGTTTCCCATTAATATAATAATTTGTTCATAGTTCAGTTTTCTGATTCGTCAATGTTTCTGCGATTTGAAAATTGTAAATTGTTTCAATGCAGAAAGGTGCAATTAACTCATAAATATTATTTATAACACTCCTGCTATTATGTTGTGTACTCTTTAATTCTCCTTTCCATATCTGTGTTATTTTGTTTAAAAATATATATATTTCCTGCACACACTTAGACAAATAATATTTAGTAGATTAAACCATAAAAAACACTTTCATTCTAAGACAATAAACTAAAGTCATTAACGTGAAAACTTTATCTATTAAGCTTATATTTGGAAATCTGTCATATAAGCTGACAAGTCTTTTTCCCTTTAGTATTACATATTTTATTACGTAGTTGTTAACTACCAGAATATTAGATGAATTTTAAATCAATATTTGGTACTAGAAGTTGATCTAGACATTTTTATAGTTCTTAACGGTCCAGTCTCTAAGATAATTCGAGATAGATTGAGCCTTTCATATAATTAAGTAATTATCCAAAAAAATGCGCTGTAAGCATGATGCAAGATTAATTCAGTTATATTCCTACAAGATATGCACGAAGGGCGGTTCTTAATGGAGGAGGATAACACTAAGAAATAGTTTTAATTTATCAGAATCTTATTCAGCTGTCTGCTTGTCGAAGAAAATTTTGTGTGAACATTTTTGGATAACATATAATGGAGTTGGTGAAATTGTCTCCGAAAGTCATCCCCTTGAGTATTTACTTTTTGTACCTGTAGAATCGACCTATTAGCTTTTGGATCCCGCCTTTTTAATTTATCTACATTTTCCTCTATTAGGTCTACTAAATATATTACCCCTAACACACGCACGAACACACACACATCACCAGGAAAGAACCCGTAACAGCTGCCTAACTTCCAGGTACCTATTTACTGTTTTGTGAGGAGGTGAATCAAGTGAAAGAAACTCTGCCTATTTTTTTATACCTCGGCTGGAAATCGAACCAGGGCACTTGGACTACGATGCAACCGAGCGCCGCTGTCGACTCAGCCGCAACGCCCAAAGTGACCTTATCCATGGTTTGGTGTGAGGAGAGATATAACCTTACTCATAGTTCTATGCCAGAAGGAGCGTGAGTGATGTTGTTGTTGTTTTAGGTTTAGCTACTCAGAACGAAATGTCCATGTAGCACGGGCTATGGTGAGCCCGTAATTGAGTTCGGTTATTTGCGATAACCTTGTTACTCTGATATTTGGGTCAAAATTTTAAATGGCGGTGGGGTTTCCTCCTTTTTCCCTGTTTCTTTTTCACTTCTGTTTTAGTCGTGTTTTAATAACATTATCTTGGTGGTGGATGTAGATGCAGAATGTTCACTAGTGAGTCCCATTCTTTAACGGCTTCTCTAATCATTGTGGTGGCTGTGGAATGTGCGTCTAATGCAACTGCTGTCGTTGGATTAATGTTTAGTTTGATGCGCAGGGCTTCAGTAGCTTCACATTCTAGTAAGTAGTACAATGGTGACGCCTCTGCTTCTGTTCCACAGATATGACACTCTTTAACTATTGGGTTTATTACCTCCCAGCATCACTTGTAAATAAGTCTGAGTCTGTGTATGGCTACTGCAATGTCTCTGGATATCTTTTTGTCAGGCTTGAATGAGTAGTACCCAGTGGCTTGTTCGTACCACATCGCAGTGGATTCTTCTTCCGCTACTTTGGCTCTCGGGCGACTTTTGATAGTTGGGAATATTTTCTTCTTGATTTGCTCCTTAATCTATAACAAACTTGGAGGTATTTGAACCTGTACAACAGGTAGAGCGGTGGCAGTTTTGCTAGTGAGTCTACCTTTTCATTACCATCTATGCCAATGTGACTTGGCATTCAATTTAGGGTGATTGACAGCCCTAGATTATGGGCTTCTTTTCCTATATGTTGGATTTCTGTGAGGAGTTTTATATTATCTTTGTGTTGACTGGATAACAATGCCTGGAGCGAAGACTTAAAGTCGGTATGAATGATGACATCATGTAAATTATTCTTAATTTTATTGTTTATAGCCTCCTTCAGGTATATAATTCTGTCTGCAATGTTGAGCACCCACTATTAATGTGGGTGAAGTAACCCATGGTAATGTATGAGCAGAGTGAGGCGTGACCTTGCCCCTGGTTGAGTGCGAGATGAATGATCTTACCCGTCGTCGTGTGTGCGAGGGGTATGACTGACCTTACCCAGTATTGTGTGTACAAAGGTAAAGCGAGACTTACCCATGGTCGTGCATGGGAGTGACTCGGCATATATGTGACTCGGATTATGCACAATTGCATAATTCGGATGCAACTTTAGTTTTAACTTGTGATCTAATTTTATATATATTATTTACATTTATTGTTCGAGATTGTAAGGAGTTTTGTAGAGAACTGTACGATTTATAAATAACAGTGCATGCGTAGCATTTTGGGTAAGGCTTATAATATCCATGATCTCTTTTTCTGTTTTTAAGAGCTTTCTCTGTTTATTCCCCCCAATCCTTTTCTCGTCAATATATTCGAGAGTTTCCAGAGTTTCTCTTAAACTTTCATCAGCAGTGATGTCTAACCCGTGGAGGGCGTCACCTCTTCATATTTTGTATTATTATTGGCTTCCCAAATATTTGGGTCATTCAAGGGAGACAGTCAGACTGTCACTTGTAGACTGATTCTCCGTCTCTATCTTCCCTTTGATCTGGAGAGCAAGTTTCTCTTAGAAAAGCGTTTGAGTGTATTCCCATCTTTTCTTAAATGTGCCCAGGGAGAATTTTTGGAAATTTTTTGGCTAATCTTTAATATTATTTAAGTGTAAGGTGAGATGT